CGCCGCGGCCCGGCCCGGAGCGCGGGCAAGTTCGCCGAGAGTTGAGGCGAAGTTTGGGCGGCCGAGCTCCCCTCTGCGCCTCCGGAGTCCCGCCGCGCCCAGCCCCGCCGGGGGCGCCCCTCGCCGCCCGCGCGCCCTCCCCAGCCATGTCGTCCATCCTGCCCTTCACCCCCCCGATCGTGAAGCGCCTGCTGGGCTGGAAGAAGGGCGAGCAGAACGGGCAGGAGGAGAAGTGGTGCGAGAAGGCGGTCAAGAGTTTGGTCAAGAAGCTCAAGAAGACCGGGCAGCTGGACGAACTGGAGAAGGCCATCACCACGCAGAACGTCAACACCAAGTGCATCACCATCCCCAGGTGGGGGGCCCCAGCGACCCGGGGGGCGCGCCCGCCCAGCCCCCTGACGCGGCAGGGCCGGGTGGGGTTGGAGCGGGAGGGTGTGTGTGTGCGTGTATGTGGGTGTGTGTAAGGGGGGGGGGGGCAGTGGGGATCGCGGTCCGGAAGAGGCTGGAGGGGACCCCAAACAAAACCTTCTCTGGATTTGCAAAAATTCAGAGCGTGGGGCTTCCGCGGGGCACTCTCGCTTCCAGTCGCTTTTCACCTCCCGGAAAGGGGGTTGCTGCTGGAATTGGCCGCCCCCCACTCCCGGGAGCTTTGGGCTAGAAGTTGAGGCCCGCTTTGTTCAGCTCCGCGGGCCGGAGCCCCTCCTCCGCCGCCGCCTCCCGCCCCCGCGGCCCGCGCTCGTGGAGGTGGTGGTGTCTCTCCCTTTCTTTTCTTCAGTCCTGTCCCCCCACTTCTTTCCTCCGCAACAGGAATGCAGTCCGTACAGCTGGGGCTGTGGGTGAGGAGCGGGAGCCTCGTGATTGACAGATTCCTTCTTCGTTCTCTCTTTGCCTTCGGGATTAGCATTTTTATCGAGTATTTTTAGACTCGGTTGTGCCAGTCTCCCGCCCCCCTCTGCACACACGCACTTTGGTTGCAGCGCAGGGCTTTCAAATGAGAGACAAGTGGCAGAGGTTAGGGTCGTCTCTCCTCCCCCTCCTCCAAAGGATTATTTGCCCTGCTTTCAGCCTGAGATTGCGGGTTGATGTAGGAGAGAGGGAGCTTCGAGCTGATCAGATAACGAAACGCACCCCAAAGTGGGCCTCCTCAAATGGGCCCTCGCATTCCTGCAGAGCCCTCCTTCCCCAAGCGCTTTGCCATCTGGCCGGACCTCCTTTCTCCTCCGCAGCGCGCTAGCTAGGTCAGGCGAGAGCTCACAGATGGCTGATAGAAGGGGTCAGTGACTTCTCTCCACTCCCCAGGGCCCTCTCTTAGCTTAGTCGCCCCCGGCTGGGAATTCGGGTGTGTGGCGGGGGGTGTGGGTGTGTGTGTGTGGGGGGGGGAAGCGGGGGTCACCTGAGCCTCCTGTCTGTCCCTCTAGGCTCCCTTTAAAGTCTGATTCTGCACCAAGGGAGTGTGCGTTGGTGGGGGCGGGATGTCCTTGGGGGTCCCAGGCTGCAGAGGAATGAGTAGAGGGTCCCCAGGGCTTGAGCCCCACAGAGATCGTTGTCCTTCCTCCTGGGCCACGAGTGGACTGCATCCTTGGCCACCTGCTTGGGGCAGCTGTACAAGGCCTGCCAGCCGTGTGAGGCAGGCACAAAGCCACATCTGTCCACAGGAACCCAGAACGGGCCTCCTCTGGAAATAAATACCACATATGGTGGGAGTGCTGGCTTAAAAAGTAATATATATTTTTTTAACTGGGTGGATCCAGTCAATACAGGGGGAGGGAAGGCGGTGTGTTGTCTGGGAAGTGCGTTCTGGGTGTGTGATCGGGAGCCAGAATCCACTTCAGAGGAGGTGGTGTGACGGGATGGGGTCGTGGGCCTTGGGTTTTGGTCCCAGCTCTGGTTCCTAATTCTGCTTTATTCCTTCTGGTGTGTGTGTGTGGGGG